GTAACTGAAAAGACCATGATTTGGATCAAGTGCACCTTAGTCTTTAAATGGACATTCGGGCTCATTAGCACTTTGGAGAGGCCCCCAACAGATTTCCCCAATAAAAACACATCTTTTGATTTCCTGACTGTTGTTACTTTGGGTGTTGATTGTGAATTTAACTAAAATGCAGTCATTGAAAATTTTAATCTTGACTCCATCTATCACAATGTTGCCTACTGGTCCAATGGTGAGGAGTTTTGCTGTCTTTAATATTAAGGTTTGGAAGCAGAAGTGGCATCCACTTCCTAAACAACATGCTTCTGGAAACTCTATGAATTATGGTAAATGACGACAGTTATAGAAAGGAGTCAGGCCTTTTGTTCATAGGGTCGCTATGAGCCACTCTCGACTCGACAGCAATCAATAACAACAACAATGTTAAGGTATGGAGTCATATGAATTGCATATGAATCCAATATAAATTGCATCTTAACGTCAAGAAAACGAAAAACGGACGGAGAAAAGACGGAAACTGTCAATGACTTCACCTCACTTGGATCCACAATTAATACCTTTGATACCACAAGCAGGAGATGAGGAATGTATTGCACTGGGCAAGTCTGCAGTCCCACGGACTGCCAAAAGAACAAACAGGTAGGTCTTGGAGAAGGTGCTCTCTGGAAGAAACAATGGCAAAGCTTCATCTCACATACTTAAGGCATGTTGCTGGGGGGGGGGGGCGCAGTGGGGAGGTGCTATTACTTGGAGAAGGACATAATTCTTGGAAAGGTAGAGGAATGACAAAAGAGGAAAAGACCCTCAACCAGGTGGACTGATATATAGTGACCACAACAACGGGCTTGAGTGTGTCAGAGACAGTGAGACTGGCACAGGATAGGACAGGGTTCAAATCTATTGTATACAGGGTCGCTGTGAGTCAGATTTGACTTGACGGCACCTAATAATAATGAATTACAATAGTATAATGTTGAGATATAATCCATATTGAAGGCTTAAGTATTTGATCTTTTGTAGGAAGTGCTTCAAGTCCACTTTCAGCAAGCAAGGCTGTGTCATCTGAATAACAGTCTGCTGCGGAGTTTTCTTCCGATCTTGATGTCACACTGCTCATTAGTGCAGCTTCTCCAATGGTCTGTTCAGCATACAGACTGAAAAAGTATGGAGACATGGTACAATACAGAAGCACACCTTTCCTGATTTTAAATAAGTAAAATTTTGCTGAAGGTTATTAAAAAATGGCAAGAATGATACATCCACAGGGAACTGCCAGAAATTCATGTTGGATTTAGAAGAGGTTGTGGCACAAAGAATATCACCTCCTGGTGTCAGGTGGATCTTGGCTTCAAGCAAAGCAGATCCGAAATATGTTTCTCTGTGCTTTAATGACTAGGCAAAAAGGCATTTGACCCTGTAGAACATAACAAATCATGGCTAACTGTTAACTCTAACCCCTTTTCTGTTCCGACAACTGCTTCTTGGTGTAGGTCTAGGTTTCACATGAGCACAAACAAGAGTTCTGGGATTCGCATTTTTTCAATGTTCACCATAATTTCATTTCTATTCATCTCCCTCACTTTGGCAATCCTTCCCGTTGTTTTGGCCTCTCGAATGTTCCAGTGCAATTCTCCCAGTCTTTTCTGACAACCATTTTGGTTTCTTTCTTTCATGCTCTGTAATGACTTTTTGCTCTTTTCACGGATGATATCTCTGATGTCATCCCAGAGTTCATCTGGTCTTCAATCATTAGTGTTCAATGCCTCAGACGTATTTTTGAGATGGTTTTTCAAACTGAGATGGTGGGACAGACTCCAGATTGTATTTTGGTTTTTGTGGATTTTTCATTTTCTTCAGCCTCAATTTGAATTTGCACATGAGTAATTATGCTCTGTTCTATAGTTAGCACCTGGCCTAACTTTGATGCATATGTTGACCTTGTCCAGTGTATCTTTCCACAGATGTGGTCAATCTGACACCTGTGCAGTCCATCAGGTGAAGTCCATGTGTATGTTCACCTCTTTTGTTTTTTAAAAAGCTCTTTGCAGACCATAAATGACATCCAAGTAGATATATGTATACCCATGTTTATTGCGGCTTTTTTTACAATAGCAAGGAGTTGAAAACAACCTAAATGCCCATCAACAAACGAATGGGTAGAGAAGCTGTGGTATATTCGCACAATGGAATACTATGC